AGGAGACGACAAAAACGTAATGCCTCGTTTAATAAGCGGCAGCAATTCTGAGATCAACATCTCTTCGTGTCCACGAAACAAATCGGCTAATATATTAATACAATTTATGCTACCTTGGCATGTTCAAATCGGCTAATTTCGAGTTCACGCCTATGCAGATTTCTTTACAGAGATTCGCCACTAACAACGATGTATCTTAGGTGATATCGATATTATCCCTGATAGTGTTTCAGTTGTGATTTTCGATCGTTCGGTTTTACATACCCTACCCTCGGCAGCCGCTACAAACCAGATTATACTCGAATGCAGGTTTATGTACGCTAAGTTAACAGCATGTTGGCAGAGGTCGACATTACTCGTGTAAGAAATTTACTTAGGCCTTTCGATATAGTGCTTTTTACATTTTCTGATCTCGGCTACCAATCTTTTTTAGGGTCACCAAAATTGGCTTCCATTTTCATATAGATTTTTCGATTGTAAATCTAACACAAGGGCATGTCAACACTGCCACCAGATCACAATTTGCAGGGAAGTGACTTATTGGGTTAAGTTCAGCAGCCAATTCAAAGCATGCCTATATACACCGACAACCCCCATTATGAGAGTGTAAACAAGACAGCTGTACAGATTCATACAACATATAGAAGAAAACGAGCAGTGGATTAGCCAGAAGGTTCAGAAGCATTGGGAGGAACGATATGAGTTTACGCTTCCAACAACTGATTCTTATTCCGCGTGTCCATTCTGCATCGGATGATAGTGGACATTCGGTTAATTCAAAGAAGGCTATTTTACCATCGAATCCCTCTGAAGAGACTTTTCACCGCCATGATTCTGCTCGGTTTTCTTGAGTACTTCTTTATCACCTTTTCAGCTGCAGCACTGCGTACGTTCTCAGCTCAAAAACCTGTTTTACATACAGCTTTCTAAAACCAGCTTTAGTTGAGCTTCTGCGTACAGGACAACAGCAGGGTTTTTAAATCTGCCTCGGCAGGTTATTCAGCGAAACCGTGAAAAAGCTGCCAATGTGCAACATTAATGCTACGGTGCTAATTTTGCTTCACTGAAATCATCGCAACGTGAAAAGAAATGTACGATATCGGCTTCTTTGCTCTGCTAACTTTGGGTTTCACATCATTCTACAAATATAACTGACTCATCTACTTTGTGAAATCTCTCTGCGGAGGATGAACTGTTCTGATGAATACTTGCGAATCTTGAGCATGAACACTACAGTACACAGTTCAATACATTCATTTCTACCATGTTATTAGATCAAACACATGGTCTCTATTAAAGAATCATTTTGCTCCTTTAACTCTATGTGGAGGGTACGCAAATTGGTGACTAAACTTCATATCATCATAATGCATCGTCTTAATGACATTATTTGGTGCCACCCAATCCAATTTCCAAAGGTGCCACGCCTATGGGTGAAGTAGCTTTGTGACCCATTGTGAGCATTCCTCGCATATTTTTGTATTTCAACTTCATAGTTAGTTTCCGTCTGCCTCTCAAACTAACATTTTGCCTTTTCATACGCCTTTGCTTCTGTGTTGAAAAAGGAAGACCGTTTTCTATTTCGAAACCTGAAAGATTTCCAAGACACTAAACACTTTTCTATTCGTTTACACTCAAACCAATTTATTAATGACATTTCATACTGAACCTTGAACTTTCATTCGCTAATTATTGATCGTACTAAAAACAATACAAGTCATGGTGTATTTGTACACTGAACCTCCGGGTTTGTGCAGCACAAAGCACAGGAAAGACCGCCCCAACCAACAGCTAGAGCGTACTGTAGTCATTAGTGAGGCACAATGAGTGAACACATGCCTAAAGGACACACTTATTATTCAGTTCTGCCATAATATCAGCAGAATTCTGCGTGGGCTGGATGAACCTCTTGTCGATAAGAAACCGCTGAACGGTAGCAGGAGCGAAAATTCGCCTTCAGGTTCTGACAACGAAATATGAGCAGCCGCAGACTTCAGGGAAGACTTGCTACGAACTGAACCATCTCCTTACTTTAATGAAAACTCATCAGACATCAGCAAAAACGTCGCTACCTGTCCATTTGGCGATAACATTAACCCTGGGAATGCACATGCCCAATAAACCACTTTCTGCTGATTTCACAGCGATTATTCCTTTTGGTGCAACGATATTTGAACCAGAGGTAGACCCATCGAGCACGAATAACAAGCTTTTACTACCACTGTTTCGATTGCACAGTAACTGTCTTCTTCAAGGTGAGAATCTGTTTCTGCGCAAAGGTGACAAAGCTGCATTGCTTTTATTTTGTTGGTGCTTTAAGCATGGACAAATACTTTTGCTCCAAGCACCTACCAGAAGACCATCCATACCTGAAGACCACAGGGTTAAGAAAGCAAAACGTAAAATAAATACTTCGCATAGGCATAACCATTGACATTTTTCGCTATTGTAACCTTTTAACTTAAACGACCAGCAACCGCAACGTGCATACTGAACCAACATGCGCAGCGGCTGGCATCAAGTCAAAAACGTTGGCACATCAGTGGCTGAGAACGACAGAACAAGAGGTCAAGCAAGCACAATGAGGCGACGGATTCCATGATCATAGTTAATATAAATCAAATAGACATTAAAACAAATATTAAAGTGTGAATGATAGTAAATTATCTTAAATGTGAAATAACGACGCCATGGTTCCATAATTATCAGACTTTCGAGATGTGCGCTAGCAGGTCATTTTTCGGTTGTTGCACTGGAATAGCAAAAAGAAAGCAAATCGCCCTCAAATCGGATTACGATAAAATACTGCCTTTGCGCCTAGACTCGAAACTTGTAGCCTCTAAATATGAGGCAAATCAGCAGAC